AAAAAAAAAAAAAAAAAAAAAAAAAAGAGAGAGAAAAAAAATATACACATTCATTCTTTCTTCTCTATCTGAACACTTTACACCTTTTTTCGCTCTTTTTAAACGTTCTGCTGAACAGGTTGTATGAAAATGGTTCATCGTCTAATATGCTTTCCTATGCCTTTTCTTCTGCAAATTTTTCCTTTCTCTCTTCACTGGCATACTCATTCAGCTCTAAAAATGAAGCAGTTGAAATAAATTACAAAGCCTGAAACAGAAAATTGACTTTTTTGAAAAACTATAAATACGGAAATATGTTCTATAGGGTAAAAATGACATTTTCTAAAAAATAAAAATACCTTGGTTCATATTGTTTATCATCTTGTCACACTGATTTCTGTAATGCGCATGAGCATATATATATGTAAGATACTTGACATTTACTATTTTCTGTAAACTTGTAGAACACAAGAAAAACGTTTTTGGCAATAATTTAGCAGTTTTTCTACTTTTGTTGGTATGAGTACTTTGCACAGGTTATCTTGTGTGCTATCAAGGATCATTTAAACTTATTAATATATCATTTTCATAGCTTGCCATACAGCACTGGCATTATTTCTTATACTAAGAAATAAAATCTTACCCAGGGATTCCTGAAAAGCAACAGGATGTTGAACTGAGTGTTTTAGACTGCATTTAAGTGACTCATCTGCTTCTCATCATAATGAGTAGATTAAATCAGCCACCAGAAAACACAGTAACATTCCCAATTCCAGCATGAGATTAAATGCAACAAAAACTTTAAAACAAAACTTGAGAAAAATATAAAGATGTAATACATCCTAAAGGAAAAGCAATTCCCTTTTTGTTTAAACTTTCTCTACATAATCCCATAGGGTATTTGTAGAGCACCATTTATATAAAATTGTCACTTAGTTTAAAAAACAACTATATGTAATTGTAAACAGACATTTACAGAAAATTAAATGTTTTAACATTAGTTTAGTGGTGTTTAAAACCAACAGTGGAGGTCAGTGGAGTGCAAAATGCTGAAGAGGGCCTATTCACAAGCAAAATTATTTTTTTTTCCATTCTTATCCTGTTTGGGATAATGTATGTGTGTGTATATATATATATGGCACTGAAAGCAAACTATCAGCTTATTTACAAATACCCAGTATTCTTAGCATTTCATTTAACTCAGTGCTGGCTGTAGAGGTTGGGGTTTTTTTTTCTCCAGTTGATTATTTTTAGCATTACATGCTTTGATAAATAAACCATGGCACTACGCTGACCACTTAACTGACCAGATTTTAATAAGTTTGGTTGCTGGATCTTAGGAGAGTGCTTCATTTTGAAAAATTAATCCCTAAAGAGCCACTGGTTACATGGCCCGTTGTTTATAGTTCTTGTTGATTTAACACCGCAAGAGTTCAGACAGGATATTGCAAGATGTTTTCTTTTCTTCCGAGAAACTATTTTTCCCTTCCATGCCTTTATGAAAACTTACGATCTTGATACCCATCCTGAAACTCCATATTAAGTCCACATCTTCAGCTGCCCCATTAAAGGGCAAATAAAGTACTTTTAAAAATTATGAAAAGATTCTTTATGTAACGCACATATGAACAGTAGTTTAGAGATTCTGTTTACAGCAGGACATTGGGAATAACTGGTCAAGTACCTCTTTCATCCACCTTAGATGTTTAGGGAATATAAGCACAGGACATGAGTTGCAAGAGACTCCAGCTTATACAGATCGGCAGTTACAGTACTACACTCATAGGTACAAATACAAGAAGGGCTGCATTGACACTGTCACAAAAAATATTTTAAAAGTGCTTCTCCAAATGGTTCCGTGTATGGAATGCAAATACTGTACAGGTAAGAGACAGATTTTCTTCCACGAACTGTAAGTTTTTGTCAAACATTGGTTTCTATTTGCTTTTCATGTTCACAGGAGTTTGCCTGTTCCATACGTTCACAGTCGACGCTGACCTCGCTGGTGTCCATGCTACAGTCCGACTCACAGTCCGATTGGTCCATCCGCTCAAGCGCCGTTTCTCCCTGGGGTACTCTGCTGCCATTTGGTGACAAAAGAAAATGCGCTTCCGAGTTCAGCACGCCAGCTTTGCCTGCACACGTAACTTTTTCTTTGGCCTGGCGGATACAGTTAAGCCACTGTTGTTTGTTGAAGGAGTCATTGGCTTGGAGTGAGTGAGTCTGGCTTTGAGATCCATTTTTGAAGCTGACTCTAAAGAAGTTTTTGACTGAAAGAAACAATACATATCAAAACACTGAATGCTTTGGCTGAATGGATTTTATAATCAAAGAGTATATAACAGAATCTGCAAAATCTTTGACTTAAGGTGTTTTCCTGCCAATACCATGTCAGACCAGAGAGAGGAGTCTGGGTATCTCCTTGTTTTGTGGGGCAAGGACACAGAACACCACAAGCACTTCTAATAATATCTTATTGCTGGTTTAAACAATTTTGGTTCCGCCAGGCATGAACTACCCATAAAGCTTTAAGTGAATCAGCAGGATTAAGGCTTCTCCCACACTGCAATGCCTCTCCTCCTACTTCTCTGCAAAGCAGATTTCCAGAACCTTCACTGAATACTGTGCCTTGTGTCAGCCGGAGATTGCCTCATCTCTTCCATTCACTTCACTAATAAAGTGAATACATACAAAAAAAACCTCAAATTTTTCACAAGATGAGTGAGATTCAAAGGACCCTTGTAACAGAAACAAGCATCTTTATAATATGCTTAATTAGAAGGACATTAACTCTTACCTCTTGACATTAACATGAATAGCTGCAGTCTTAACACTGAGCCCTACATTAATGATCTGTCAGCTGAAAGACTTAGTTATGGAATAGCAATCAATGTCTCCATAATACAAGGAAAGTCAGAACAGCTAAAGCTTAAGATTTCAAAATACACTTGCTTATAATTTTGTGGTTTTGCCACTACATTCTACATATTCTCCCCTTCTCAATTCAGTACAGAAGCAGGTGTGTGGAGAAATCCCATTATCAATACAGTGAACTTTGAGAAACAATCTAAAAGAAGCAAGTTACAACGTAATAAACCAGTTTGAAATAAAAATCAAGGTGTTGGATCTAGATAATGTGAATGTTAGAGAAAACATTCTGATGTCTCATTAGTAGGTGTCTTAAGGTTATAATGATCCTATATGAGCAAATAATAAAAGGTATAGTCATACTTCTCTCGTTGTTGCTGAATGCACCACGTATGGATCCACCCAGTCGCACCTCTCCATCTTGCAAGTCTTCTAGCACAAGCTCCCTCACCGGAATTGGCTGCCGATACAGCTGGTAGCAGAGCTGTTCATTATGGGCGATAGCTCGAGTAATTACCAACACTTCTTCAAAGAGGAAGACATGCAGTTTCTGTTAAAAATTAATAAATAATAAAGCATTATCGCTTCTTTAGAACATCATTAAACCAAATTTATTTAAACTTATGTTTTCAACAGTCAGAATAAGGATTCCTCTCTTCCCACTATTTAGAAGTCTTATGGCACAACAGCATGTAAATATGTAAATACAACAATTTAAAAACTTCTAAAATTATTTTTCCTGTCCTCTCCTCTGTTTCTTGTGTCATGATCCTAATTAATCTTCTGGTGTTGAGGCCTTGAAACGTGCATGACATTTGGAAGCTCTCTCTACAGCAGCATGCTTATACGCATCCTGCCTGCGTTACTAAGAAACAGGTAATCTTCTTCATCCAAATACTTTCAATGAACAATTATGAGCAGTCTTTTTACAATTCACGTGCTGCTCACAATCAGCTTCATCACAGCTCTTTGAAGCTCAGAAAATTACTTTTGCTCCTAGCTGGCACAAGGCACCTGTTAAATTATGTTCTTCCTCACGTTTTGCCATCTCCAGTGGCTTCCGGTAATAAACAAACTGAAATTTTAAATTCATTTCACTTGATATCACACATTGGAATTAATTTTTTTCACTGCCAAAATTTTCTTCCCAGTCACAAGTAACTGTTCTTTGCTTCTAAAGTTGACCTGACTCTAACTCTAAACAGACACATTATTTGCAGTTTTAACACAAGACAGATCTTCAGATCCATTTAGCTCACTGTCCCATCTTCCAGTAGCTCATGTTTTCAAAAAACTATAACGAAAGAAGTAATTATAGCAGAAACCTTTCCCAGTATGCCCTGGCAGTCTTCTGATATAGAAAAAGTCCATCTTCATTCTATTTTTCCACAAGAGATGCCTCATTTTATATCCACGAATAGTCCAATTTTCTTCCACTTGTGCCTCTCTCCGTCTTTGCAGGACACACACCTAAACTTTTTGTTTGTTCCTTATTCCTCAGCGCTGTCATCTTTTGTATTAACAGCGACACTATGCAGAGTCTGGCAAAGAATCTATCCCTTATGTGTTTCAGTTTATATGTTCAACAAATGGCTACCTTCTCATATGAATGACATACGAAAGAAAGCAACAATGCCTGAGATTAAACATTTGAGGTATATACAGGTATGGATGTTTGCCTGTTAAGTAGGACTGGGGTTTGTTTTTTTTTTAATATTCTGAATGTGTAGCAAAAATACCTTGTTTATTCTGAAACTCAGTTTTCAAACTATCATCCACAAAATGTTGCAGATTGTTTATAATGTAAAGCTTTGTTATGGCTGATTTTAGTGGAAGTCCTATGGAACTCCTTTCAATGGTGAGATCTCTTGCTTGCTGCAATAGCTAATACTCTGTAATAGCAGGTGTGAAAAGGAGACTGGTAACATTAAGATATGAATAACCTGTTTTTCACCTCAAATCAAAGAAATGCACGAACAAAAATATCCCACACTGTCAACTGTGTTCAAGGAATACGTCAGTGTGGAAACCTCCCAAAAATGGTGGGGAATTTTAAATACTGTTCATAAATTGAAAATAATTAATTATATACTTAATGTTATGCTACCAAAGAAAGGCAGGGGTAGTGTGGATGGAATAAATAAAGTTCACCAGAAAGATTAAATTTGCCAGTGTCTTCCTGCTAGCTTGCTATACATTATCTGCTTGCCTGAACTTTTTCGGGTGAACCAGAAAACGGCACCTATTTCATCTTTCCAACTCAGCCGCACGGTAAAACATGATCCTTCTACTGTAGGCATAAACATGCTACATAGAAGCACTCTCAATGCTGAAAAATGCATTTAGAATCCTGCTTACTTTGTTGGTTGTTTTTTTAATAAAAAACTTTCGTAAGCTCAGTTAATGAGAAAAAGATCTTTTTTCATTGTTTGTCCATTCAAAATTTCATGTTGTTTCTATTTAACCTTGGGGAAAAAAAAACAACCTCTAGGAATGACTGGTTTCTCTTCTATTAATATCTCTACTAATCTGCATGGTTTTGTTTGGTTTTTGTTTTTGTTTTTAAAAGGAAAGCTCAGCTTATGACACTTATCAATAGTGCAGACTCCAGGAGACTGGAATTCACAGTATCAAATACCAAATTTTTCTGGTCAATAAATTAACTTTGACTTCAACAAATAATCAAGTAAAACATTCTTAATAACCACAGCCTTCAACAGATTTAAAATTTGTTAGTACATTTTGTGTGTCATTATAGACATTACTATCGTGTCTCTGAGACCAGAAATACGTTTCTTATTTGCTTTTTTTCCCCTGCAAGTTTTACTGAAATTTATCAGATTTACAGTTTAGCCAGGATGTTGTTAGGTCCCCTTAAGAGACAGAGACATGTATAAGCTTATTATCTCCATATACAGATATCTGACTGCTAACAAAAAAGATGAGCGTTACATATACTAGCTAATATTTATCAACTTCCTATATATGAGAGGGTGATGTTTCTGCACGTATATTCACAGCTCTTTTACCTGCCATGCGAAATGAAGATATCTTTAAAAGCTATTTATGACAAAATATTTATTCCTTACCACGCCCCTGTTGTTCTTCAGTTCACCGTGACAACATACAACACGTGAATTATCAATCAATGAATCCCTTTGGCCTTCTTCAAGATAAATAAGTCTCTCTTTGTAATACCGGCATTCAGATTCACCAGTCTTTATGTTGATTTCAGCCACTATGCCCTGAATTATATTTATCTACAGAAAAACAATGAAAACACATGAACTTTAATTAGACAGTCCAATATTCAGAGCTATCTCCTAATAATTTGAACTGTAGCTGCAAGAAAATACATTTTAATTTACAGTATATTTTTCATAAATTTTTTGAAGACCAGTCTGTAAGAGTATTAATATTAGCAACAGAATTAAGCAGACTACAGTGTATAAAGACACTTTAGCTTGGCTTTATCATTGTTTCTAACAATGGCTTAAAAATCTGATATTTATCTCTTTATGTCAAACCTAAATAGGCAGAATTAAGATAAACAGATGTAGGAAATAAAATCAGATGTATTTTTGTCTGCTGAAATGTGCCAATAAATGACACAGGACAAATAACCTGCCTTAAAAATATTTAAAATAGGTTATAATTCTCTGAAAACTGCTGCATTGTATCAGAGAACAAGAAACGGAAGAACTATGAAGATTCTTATCCTGCAGAACATACCCAAAACACTAAATTCTCAACTTTTGTTCATTATGAAAGTTACCCTCTGGAAATACGGTAAATTAATTTTATTGTACAATTCCACTACTTGCATATACCTACAATTTTACAATTGAAAGTAATAATTATTTTGCCTTTTTGCTTTAAAAAACATTTAAAAGAAAGCTTTGCCTTTTCTATAAAAATACGCTCCCTATCTTGAACTTCCTTATACTATGCAGCCTTTAAGGGCTTTGAGATCAATTTATCTGAAACTTAAAATATGGCTCCTTAATTGGGCATGTGGATGTGACGTTCTGTTGGTTTTAGTCAACTCTAATAGTGATCATAGGCTGCTTAGACGGATCAAATTCCTCTGTTAAATAACTGGAGGTGGAGCAGGGGAATGGGCTGACATACATGCCCAAAGAGAGAATTCGAGACACTGCTGATCCCAGATTCGTCTGGCATCAGCTTGGCCCAACGTGCTTACAGCAGACTGCCAGACAGGAAGACAAATGCACTTCATAAGGCTAAAACAGTGCTAAGAGCCAACCACATAGAGTAATTTCTGTTTCCTAATTTAACTTGGCAAATATACAATTTCTGAAATACATCACTATAAGATAAACAGTGTTCTGCTGAAGCAGAATACCACAAAGCTATGTAAGGCTATTGAAATATCAAGAAAAAAATCCTGATCATATTTTATTAAACAATTAGCTAATACAAGTACTAGAAGAAAGCATTTAAAATATTTTTTAAAGATATTACCAGACATTATGCAGAAAATCAAACCTTAGAAATAAGCAGAAGAATTCTTTGAGATATTTATGGGGTTTTGTTTGAGTTTGAAAGAATACGCACCAGGGGAAAATGTACCTTATAGATTACATCTAAATGCGAGTACCCAAGCTTTGAATTTAAACCACAGCTGTCCAATTTTACAACAGAGAAGTTGAGCTGGGCAAGGGATTTGGGGAAGGAATAGCAGAGCAGTAGCGGTCAGGTACGCGTGTTCTGAAATATGCACTTCCCAAAAAAAGAAGGGCTGTCATTTTTCAGCAAAGAAATACTAAAATACACAAAATATTAAAGTCTAGGCAAATAGTTAATTTTGCCCTCAAAATATTACTGACATTTACTTATATTTAAATACTATTAAAAAGCAGTATGACACTGATTATACTTATTCATGAATTTACAAGTGTGTTTCAAACAAATCCGCTACACATTTGCATGCGTGCACATGTTACTGCATTTTTTTAATATATATACACACACACACATATATGGGAAAGAACCTTTCAGAATATCTGAATCAGGTCCCTTTCTATTAATAAGGAATTTTTAAAGCCTTGGTTTTATCCCTCTGGTTTTACTTCAGAAAGTGCAACGCTATTCCAAATGAAAGACAGAATGAAGGCAAATTTCAACAACGTTCCCACAGACGACAATTAATCTAGATTCAGAGGTTATGTAAAGTTCTCAAGCCAGGGAATAAAACGGATTTAAATGATCTAAAACCTGAAAAGAAACGTCCACATTACTCGGATTAGAACAATGCAACATTGAAAGGTAAATACAAAATGGACAGGGATCAGACAAGAGCTGTGGAAAACACCTCCCATCCCCTACTTTTTTTTTTTTAGTATCACTTTGCTACTGAAATAGGATTTAATTGGGGGAGCAGGGCTAGATATTTCATGTATTAGTTTCAGCTGTTTGTATAAGTATTAGCATTTCCGTATTTTACATAGCGTCCCTTAATCCATTAATAAGCTAAAAGTGCTATAGTCTCCTAAAAAAACCCAAACCCAACAGTAACTCACAGCTTCTTCAAGGTGCTGCTGATCTGGATGATCATTTGGTGTGTGTCTCAAAATCTCTCTGAGTAGTAATGGGTATTTAACCAAACGGCTTCTTGGGATGTCAAGGAAATTCCAAAGGTCCAGTTTGCGACTAAAGGGGGACTCTAAGCAGCGCTGTAGGAAGTCTTGGACTCTATGATCTTGTTTCTTGTGATCCAATAAAGCTTTGGCTGCTACTTGATTGCTGCAGTAGCTATCATAGGAGTTCAGGCATGGAAGCTGAGGAAAGGAATAAGTTATTCTCCAGCTGAAACAAAGCACAGTTTGCTATATAGAAAGTTTCAAGTGATTCAGGATGTTAGAACTCATGCTGAGAATCTTTTTTCTGGAGATTTATCCACAATTTCTTGATGATAATGTTTCCAACAAAGATAAGGTTTACAAGGGTCCTCTGACCACCTTGTTCATCATTTAAATCCTTTAGAAGCACTAGCTCATCTCTCGGTTCCTAGAGATCTCCAGTATTATTCCAAAGCATTACAGATATCTGTGACTTAAGACTGAGCACTACTTTGTGCAGACAATAGTTGAACACGGAAGTCTGATTTTCATTGTGAATGGAAACAAAAGCCTAGGAATGAGTGCTCCCAGACCTGGCCTTTTTAGCCAAGCAAAATTCTATAGTCAAACTTCTATATTGCCCTCAAGAACCCTGACCAAACTAAGATGACAGAACCATGCCTTAAATCTGAAAAAAACTAGCTTGTATGTCGATTAGAACAATAGATCCATTTACAAAACCTGCTATATTAACACACAATTATATGTAAAATCTTCAACAAAGGAAGTTAGACTCGGACATATTTGGACCATGAGAAGTTCACTGGTGTTCAAACACACCAGAAAGTAAATATATTTAAAATCACTTTATGCAAAGAAAAAGAGAGATAATCTTTGACACTTAGAAGCTTATCACTAAGTATTTGCATTATGTATTAGTGGTGATAGTGTTTCTCATGTTTACAATAGGCCACTATTTCACACACAGCTGCTGAATATGTTACTACTTAATCCCTTAAACCCAAGCCCTTTTTTTCCTGCTCAATTTCATTACTTATGTATACTTACAAGTAACCTTTTTACATATCTAAATCCTTTTAAAAATAGCTCTTTTTTTAATATAATGAGCAATTTTATCAACAAAGCTAACAAAAACTATTTTCAGGGTTTATGTTGTTGGATGCTACTGAAACTGAACTTACCCACTTTTTCTTTTGTGTGGCAGCAATAGCATCTCTCACGTATCCCTGTCTGCCTTATTTTAACAAACTTTTAGAAAATTACTATCTTTGACAGCACTAACAACTACCTGTTACCTTGGCTGGAACAGACTGACATTGAAAAATAACTGCAGGGTGCCATTACACAATGTGACTGTTCAAGCTTCATTTCCCTGGGAAACCAGAATACAAATGGGGGCAGATTCTTAAATGATCTACAGCAGACAAACTCTAGTCTGACTCTTGATTTTTTATTTGAAGCATATTAAATACTGCTCATCTCCTGAATAGTAAGAGCTTTAAAAATTAAATCCTAGTCTACATCTTTTCATGGAAAATCCCTGAAGAGAGAAAACAGTCCATTATGTCTCTAAATAGTTGCCTTACCTTCTAAAAGTACTTTGAGAACATATTTTTTGACATGTTATGCTAGATATGGAAAGGAAATTGTCTGATAAATGTAAAAACTATGTTGCAGCTCCAAACTAAAGTCCCCAAATTGATTAAAAACTCTGCCTTACCCAACCCACAAGAATATGGCCAACATGTTCTGTTGATCCATCAGGTTTCCTGACTTCTTGAAGTCGCCTAAGAAGATCTGGTCATGATTAAAAAAATAAGAGAGAGAAACTTCACTTAATGAACCAGATGACTATAAATCTATGTGCAATAGTAACACAAAGACTATTTGAGTTTTACCTTCATGTAGAGGAATTAGAGAATCCAACGTTCCAAAAATTTGGTTCAACTCTTGCTCTGTCATTATGGAAAGTTTAAGCATTGGGTCATGATAAGCCTGAAAAGAAAAAAGGGGAGCTCTGTAATTAATGTATCATTGGTAGCTGAAAAATTAGTGATAGCATTTGAAGCTCCCTGTAAGTAAAAAGAGACCAATTGCTGACAATATTGTAAGGTTTCATAAGTGCATCTCATCTATCCATTTCATATGTTAAAAAATTTAAAGCAGCACACTGAAGTGTTTCAGAAAGAATGGGAAAATAGAAGTATGGTTTGGCTTTTTTCCCCTCTCACTGTCTTCGTGATTATAAAAAGCAAGGGTTATTTTAAAAGTTGTATGAACCAATGAATGCTGTTTGTTGTGTTTTGTTCTTTTGAAAACAGACCTTTTTTGCTAACTTCAGATCTTCTATCAAGTCTTCTTCTCCCTGGGCAAGTTCAAAGATAGCCTGTAAAAAGAGAAACAAACATTATACAATATCTTTATTTAATCTGTACTCAACTTGTTGAGTTGATGATACCTTCTGAACAGTTGACTTAATACCATGTAGCAGAATTTCTCTGCTAAATCTAACAG